TCAAATGCAGGCGAGGAAATTTTACAATAAAAGATAGCTGCTACCCGTAGTTACATATTTTTTATCTGGACATTTAGGGTACAGCTAAACATTCAAACCTATCACATTAATGCTAGAAAGCTTGCATAGATTGTCGTACCTCTATACACTTTTTGTCGGATCTCTGTACACCTCTTTAGGAAATGTCAATCACAGAACAACAAATAGGGCACTAAAACAGCATTTTAGATGTTTTATACATTTTATACTCAAAACAATACTGATTATTAAGCCAAAAAATAAAAAAAAACTGCAACTTTCGAGATCATCCGCACCTCAATTGTTTCTTGAGGCCGCACAAAGTGTCTTTCAACGGTTTCTTAATAATAATATGTAGAAATTCGATCAAACTCGAGAACAAAACTTCTCACATTCTTCTAAATATTGTATTCCTTGCCGTTCCGATTCCACCTAATAAATAATTTAGGTTGTTTCTTAATGCCCGCAGAGAAGTAAATGCCATGTCTTCAAACAATATTAATTTATCACCACTTAATATTAATTTTGGGCTACTAATTTAAAAAGAATATTCTGCAAAATCTAGGACATCTGGTTTTTGAAGTACGGTATTAATCTTGCAACCAAGTAATTTCATCAGCTTTGTATGGGCTTTGCGGCGCAAAGGAGTTATTTAAATAAGTTTACTATACTTTAAGTTTCTAAATAGTTTGTAAACAATTGACACAGTTTTCCATATTTTGAGTTAAGAAATAAAAACAGATACAATGATTCGTGTTATAAGTGAGTCATTTAATTTGACAAATTACAATACACTTCTGACGATTCCCAACCTTGACAGCTTTCAGAATCCAAAAGTCTCTGGCGAGCTATTTGATTTGATTATTCAGGAGAAAAAGGTTGGGTTAAGGTCTCTCTCAAAAACGGCTTGCCTCTTTTCTTCGGTAGTGGCCTCATACCAGATAGAACGGGATCAAGACTTAGAAGCAGTCTATTCAAGATATCTATGTTACAAGATTCTCTTGAAAACTCTCCAGCGAAATTTGTTCGATATCGCTTGAAATAATTTTTCCCGGCCTCTGCCATTTTTGCTGATATTCTGACTTATACCTTGAAAATTTATATTTGATATCATGGAGCTCTTCAGAATAATTGTCTTGATTTACCAGGTAAGTTTTCGGAGACTGTAATTTATGGTCGAAACTGAGCAATTGCTGGCTGTCCATATATCCAATATAACAATTGTTACTCCATCTATTCGTCATTGTATATCAGAACGGTCCGTAGGACCTTTGCTCTTGGTTGAAGTCTTGTAAGTCAGTAGGTCTGTCAGGTCTGGCTGCCCAAATACCAAACAAGGTCAGGGAGAAAGAAGGGAAGAAGAAAGTAAGGAAGGAAGGAGGGAGAGCAAAGAAAAAAAGAAGTGCGTCAATTTGAGGGGTACCTTGGCATTACTAATTAGTATTCGGCAATTTTAAACTGGTCCTAAAATTAATTTTGGGATTGGTTGTTGAAGAAAAATTATAATTTTGGTTGCACCTAAAGTCGCACGATTTAATTTTGTTCACAGTGCGAGTCGCGGCCTTGTGTGCTTGCGAACTTGCTCGACTGTGTAGTCTACTGACTCGCGCAACAAAGGGTTGTTATGCGAGTCCGCTTGACTATAACGTAGCTGCGCTTGTTTCATGTAGTCCCTTAGGTAAGGGATGTCAAGGTCTCTGTGAAGGGTCTCGTTGGAAACATACCATGGGGCGTTAGTGACTGCAGGCTACGCAAATGCGTTTTGGCGAGAAAACACCAAGCCGCACTTGCGTAAGTGATCGCTGGTCTAATAACCATCTTGTATAGCCGAACTTTGTTGATCAAACGTAATTTTGATGTTCTACATAGCATAGGGTAGAGTTGCCGAAACGAGATTTGAAATTTAGTTTTTAACGCTTCAGTGTGCTTCTGCCAGGTCATTTCCTTCTCAAGAGTGACACCGAGATACTTAGCAGAGCTTTCCCATGGTACACGAGCTCCATTCACTGAAACCTCAGACGGCACGCAGCTACGTTTTTTAGTACAGTAGATTGCCTGCGTTTTCGAATGATTAATATTGATCAGCCACCGATTCACCCATTCCAATACCTTGTCCACTGCACTTTGCAGCCTGTCGGAGACTAGATCCCCAGATCACGACTGGGCCACCAGGGCAGTGTAATCAGCATAAAGATAGATTTCGCAGTTGCTGGGGCAAGGGACGTCATGAATAAAAAGTGAATAAAGGACTGGTCCAAGAACCGAACCCTGAGGGACACCGGCTTTGATGGGCCATGTTGTCTACAGAACATTATTAATTTTGATCCGAACTTTCCTACCCTCGAGGAAGGATTTCACAAGTTTTAGGAGCCAGAAGGGGAAGCCCTTATGGATCAATTTCTAGAGAAAGCCCTTGTGCCACACCTTGCCTTGCCTTTGAGACATCCAGAAGCAAGATGCCTGTACTTTCGATATGGGTGAATCCCCTGGTTACTCGTTCAACAAGCCTTATGGCCTGTAGGCCTGTCAGGAATCACATTGTGGTCTGCTGAGAAATTTTCAAGGTGACGTAGAATCAACTTTTCAGCGAGCTTAGAAGGAGCTGACAGTAGACTAATGGGGCGATAATCCTGAAGGAATATCGAACCCACCTTCTTTGGAATCACTATGACATCAGCGGTCTTCCACGCCGTTGGGAAGTGTTTGGTCCTTAGCATGGCATTGATTATTGCCACGAGATAAATTAAGGACTTCCGCGAAGGTAACTTCAGCGCCTTATTAGTGATTCGATCCACTCCAGGTGCTTTACGCACCTTAAGGTCTTTAATATGACCTTGGAGCTCTGCTTTTGTGCAATGCGGAGTCTCAGGAGATTCCGCTGATGTGCCATGCAGCTCTTCAGTTGAGGAATCTTCTGAAGATACCTCTGAGGAAAAATCACTAAGAGAAGCACTACTGCCACTGACGCCGTTGGCCTTAAAATTTCTCCTGACGGATCTTACAATATGTTGCTCCTCGTCGAGGTCATTATCAAGGTCATAGTTGCTAGATAACTGATTTTCAATTGCATCAGCGAAAACTTCGACATTTTCCTCTGTCCTACAGACTATGCTTTCCGTTTCTGAGCCATTTTGCAACTTTCCAGAGAGGAATACTTGAGTCAAGCATCCCCGACAGAAAGTCGCTCCATTGCTCATTACGGAATTCATGAAGAGCATTTCTCACTTCATGAACAAGAATCGTTGCTCTGTGAATGTCATCTGGGTATCAAGACCTCTTCGCTTGCTTAATTGCAGCTCTTTAGTCAGAAATTTTCTGACGAATGTCTGCAGGGAGATTGTTACTCCATATGGCCCCAAAATAGCATTCGCCCTTAAGTGATGAAAACAGCTATATATTTATATAATCCTCCTTCAGAATTCCTATTTAAATTTCTGCTTATTTACCTAGATTACAGTAAAGAAAATCAAATCAATATTATATTCTCCATGGTGGCGGTTATTGGCGGTAATTCCTTTGAAATCTATTTACTACATACAACAACCTATCGTGTTAAAAAAGTTATCCTTATTGAAGGCTGCAAATCACAATTACAAGTAGCGAAAAATAAAAGGCATCTTTCATATTTTTTATTGCCCTAAATTTTAATCAATTATACTATACTATAACAGAGATACATACCTGGTCTCTCATAATGCATAATGGGGTACTCGTATGATAAAATTCTGATACAGGTAGCACTGAACTATGCACTCACAAAGTTACTTTCGATGCGAAACAAAGTGAACGTAGTACAACAGCCAAGTTCATACTGTTATTTTCCTCTAATCCGATCAACCAGGGAAATGATCTATGGCCATAGCATGAATTCACCACTATTCTAATGCACTATTCGATAGGGTTGTTCCACCTCCGCTGTATTTTGTGAAACTGATTTTTGATCGACTAGATTAGAGCTTCACCACTCTGAGAGGCCGCCTGACATGAAGAATGTGTATAGCAACTGACTACGTGACTAAAGTAATGTGAGTATTCGAAGTATCTACAAGACTTGCCAGTTGCTGAGCACATTTTCTATGTCTGCAAGTAATGGCTTACGGAATCTTTTTTCATTTAGTATGTTGTATATCTCAACATGTAGAGCAAAAGCACTATTTATGTCACCTGGGTCGCTTTGCCCAAGTCCAAGCATGCAGGGAAAATGAAGATGACAGCATTCAGGTGCAAGGTCATGTTTGTAGTTCCTCTAGTTTGCAGTACCAGCAATAGTTATTCAGTCACTTGAAGCTCACCTGTCCATACTTTCAGCAAAGGTGCTAAAATAAATTCCGTAAAACACCTACCCTGGAAGGTATTTATCTTAGCTGTCTCCTTTTCTAATCACTATTCCTATTTCTCCAGTGATAAACATAATAAAAAATTCAGTACCGTGACGCGCATAATATTCCTACTAACGAAGGTGCTGGCGACTGGACTACTTGATCTAGATGAATGGACAGCCGTACACAACTTACATCATCAGCTTTTCTCGCTCAAATGGAGGCGCAAATTGCTCGGTTCTAAGCGACATACCATTGCTAGGAACACGCTATTATTGTCATGTCAGTGATTCTACTAGGCTGCACTTATTAGTGCTTTGCTGCACATCAAATAACGCAAACCTGGATGTAAACAAATGTATCGATTTTACATCTCAATGACATCGGTTAAAGCTTAATTATAATTATGCTGTGGTCGAACACACATGAACTTCTCAGTACTGCGACTCAATAATAAAACCTATATCTTCTAGAGGTTCTAAATCCTCAAGTACACTTTAATTCTGCTTGATGAAATCTATGAAGCACCGATTTCTTAAAAAATAACGTAGAATTAGGCATCATTTTTTGGATCTAATACAGTATACATGTCGTGGAAAAATAATTGCAAGACAAAAAAAATCTGCTCAAGTAGGTTGGCTCTGCACTTTCTTCGCAACGCTGTAATCAGTTCATAGTTATAGTTAGTCTCTTTGAGCTAGTATCTTTTAAGTATTGCATGTGGAAACAAAAACAACACGGTAGGTAGTTTTAAATGACTTTATTGTTTTTCGAAGTATTCTCCACGAAGATTAATACACATCTGCATGCGCTCGAACCAATTTTCGACGCACTTATCCCACTCGATTTCTGGCAGATCCAAAACGGCGTTATTGAATGCGTCAACTGCTTCTTCTCGTGACTGGAACCTTTGACCACGCAGTCTGTTTTTAATTTTCGGGAAAGTAAAGAAATCGCTAGGACCTAGATCGGGACTATATGAAGGATGGTCCAGTAATTCCACGTTTTCTTCCGTTAAGTACTGCCTTCTTTTTTGGACTTTGTGCGAGCTTGCATTGTCTTGGTGGAGGATGATTCTTCTTTCGGGGTTGATTTTTCGAAGCTCGGTGATGACTTGGTGGTATACCAATCCGCAGTAACAGTTCTTTGCTGATTAAGAGAAATTGTTGCAATATGTCCCGCTTTTGACACAAATGTCGCGACCATCTATTTCGAAACACTTCGAGAACGGATGACTTTTGTTGGCTTTTCTTCAACTTGGAACACCCAAACAGCCTACTGTCGTTTATTTTCTGGTTCATAACAGTAAATCCACGATTCACCACCACTAACAATGCAGTACACATTTTTTGAGTTTCCGGAACTGAAACGGCCAAGTGTTTTTTGACATCAATTAACCCTGGCTGCTTTCTGCTCTTCAGTCAACAACGATAACTAATTTTCTTACTCCTAATTCTTAAAAATTTTTTTTTTGAATTGAGGTCTTTGAGATCTTCAAGGACGCCTCAATGTCTATCTTCAATGATGAGTTTGTGCACAGCATCGACGTTTTCCTGGGTGACTGGCGTTTTTGGTGCACCCACCCTGGGATCGTCGCAAAGACTCACCCGTCTACGTTTGAATTTTCATACCAACGGGAAATTGTCGACTGATCTCGCGCTTCGTTGCCGGACACAGACAGTAACTCAGCAAGGCATTCTTGTTGAGATAATTGTTTCTGAGAGTTGAAAATGTTCTCCGTCGAGTTCCATTTTTTTAATGACTTGGTGACCCTTAAAAATTCTCTGTAGTGAGAACGGCCTACTATGTTTCTATATGCAAACATGTTTAACAAAAAAAAAAATGAATGAGTCAGCCCAGCTAAACAGGTCCATATACAACTAGTCGATTCTCTCTAGTCCCCAACCATTTTAAAACGCCACCGCCATTTTCTTCCTCGCCCAGGTACAAGAATTAGGGTACAGACACACCGATAGACTGATAAACATGGTCCGAAGGTATATAAAAAAGAACATACCGCTGAGGGTCAAAACCCCATAAAAAAATGGAAGACGTAGCACCCAAACCAAAACTTAAGGTACACAAAACAAAGGGTGCTAGTCCATGAATTGGTGCTTGGGGCCTAATATCCCAGAGTCCGGAAAATGATGTCCCCTACTGAGCGAGGGCCGTGGCAAATGTTTGTTCCGGAAGTTGTATCCAGTATACAACTTCTTCCCGTCCAAGTGATTGTGCACGCGTTAAGGAATACCTCAGTACCGATTGCCGGGTGGCGGTACAAGTCCGCCAACGGGCCACTTTAGGTCTATTTAACATCACTAACACGTAAAAAGAAGGTGGTAGACAAGGACCAGTCGACCGAGGCAGTACCACCCGCTAGCTTTTCCCAGGGTGTCTTATAAATGTCCGCATGTTTCCACACCTAAGCTATGCAGTCGGTTATCTACCAAAACAAAGAAATTAATGATGATGGATCCCTCGAGCACTAAGAACTGCGGACGTAAACTCACTCCACTCTCGGAATGTCCGGGTGGAGGGTGGGCTCGAGGGAACAACATCGAAGATAAAATTTGTTTTTCGAACATCTGCGGGATCAACAGCAACATTGATGCTGTTCATCACTACCTGCAATCCAATCGTCCCGCCGTGTTTTTCTTGGCGGAGACAAAAATCTCAGAGACTGCACCGATTAACCATCTCAACTTCCCAAACTACGAGGTGCACTCCAATCTGAGAAAGAACGGGGGAGTTGTGGCTTTTGTCCGCAGCAGTCTTTCCTGCACCAGGGATCTTTCTTTGGAATCAGACCGGAAGGACATTCTGTGGCTTCGCCTCAACTCCAAAACATCACCCAAATTTATTTGCTGCCTTTATCGCTCTCCCTCGAACCATAACTGGGATGACCTACTCGAATACCTCGCCGTCCAGATCGACTTCTTGAACATCAATCACCCCGCTTCAGAGGTAGTTCTTCTCGGTGATTTCAATGCCCATAATGAACTTTGGTTGGGCTCAAATAAGACCGATGCAGCAGGTCGTGCAGTCGAAGCGTTCGCTCTTACTCAAGGGCTGACCCAGGTGGTGACGAGCCCTACTTTTTTTGCCCCGCGTCTCGTCACACGCCAGTAGCCTGCTGGATCTCTTTCTGACCACGCATCCTGTCCATTACAGCACTGCTGTCCTGTCCCCCCTGGGTCAATCAGATCACGGTGTTGTGGAGGTTAGGTTTCGGTCAGAAGCCGCTGTGGCAGCAGAAACTCGCACAGGCCGCAAAACTTGGCATTATGGACATGCCGACTGGGAGGGGCTCAGAGACTTCTTCTCTAGCTTTCCTTGGAGAGATGTCTGTTTCACTGACGTGGATGCGTCGACTGTCTGTTCTTCGATAACCGAAATTATCCACGTCGGAATGGAGGAATACATCCCTCACACAGCGAAAGTTCCTAAACCAGGGTCCAGCGGCTGGTTCAACAAATCGTGTGACACTGCTCGCCAGCAGAAAATAAAGGCACACAGAACCTAGTTACAAAACCCCACTGTAGAGAACAGACAAGCCGACGTCGAGTCCAGAAACAAATATAACGATGCGGTTCGCAATGCCAAAAACCAGCATGATATAAAAGTTAGGCACAGGGTAATGTCGCAGCGCAATGTCAGTCGGTCTTTCTGGACGCTGGCCAAGCAGATTGAAAAGAACTTCTCACACAGTAGCCTTCCACCACTTACGTGTCAGGATGGAACTATTGTATTCGACTCAAAGGCCAAGGCGGAAGTGCTAGCCAAGATCTTTGCTGCCAACTCAACCATGGACGTCCCCACCAACGCCCAAGAGCCGTCAATTCAAAGGGTTCCCCACACTATGCGGGAGGTAACATTCAGGCATAAGACCGTAAGACGAGTGCTCTTGTCGCTCGACATCAACAAAGCTTCTGGTCTGGCCTTGATTCCTGCCATTGTACTGAAGAGATGTGCAGCGGAGCTTGCTCCAGTTCTTTCGCGTCTCTTCCAGATATCTTATGAATCCGGTACCTTCCCAGAAAACTGGAAATTTGCTCATGTACAGCCCATCCCAAAAAAAGGATCTAAGACCGACCCTTACAACTACAGGCCTATAGCTCTGCTTTCTGTTATAGGTAAAGTGATGGAGAGGTGCATAAATCGCGAGCTTCTGGACTACCTCGAACGTCACAGCTTGATTAGCGACAGGCAGTACGGTTTCCGGCACCAACGATCCACAGGGGACCTCCTAGCTTACGTCACGCAATTGTGGACTAAACTCATCCAATCTCATGGTGAGGCTCATGTCGTTGCTCTTGACATCACGAAATCGTTCGATCAGCTGTGGCACGCTGCCCTCTTAAGCAAACTTCCATCCTATGGCCTCCCAGAAAAGCTTTGCAGATGGGTGGCTGACTTTATCTCTGGCCGCAAGATATCCGTCGTAATTGACGGATTCTCCTCTTCATCCCACAACGTCAACGCGGGTGTTCCCCAGGGATCGGTCTTGGCTCCAACACTGTTCCTCTTACATATCAACGACCTCCTTTCCTGCACGATCAACCCAATCCACAGCTTCGCTGATGACAGCACTCTACATGCAGGAATTCAGAGTGACAAGCCGATCTCTGCCGCTGAGCTGGAAAAAAGAAGACTAGCGACGACTTTTTCTCTGACAAGAGACCTGGAGGCTATCACTGCTTGGGGACGCAACAATCTTGTACAGTTCAATGCTTCCAAAACACAGTACTGTACTTTGACGAACAAAAAGCGTCCTAGCGCTCATACAGTTTCGATGGACGGCCGAGTTCTACCAAAGAGCCATTCATTTCGGCTGGTCGGAGTCCAGATCACCGAGGACCTGATCTGGCACGAACACATCTTTTCAATAGCTGCAGCTGCTGGGAAAAAGCTAGGCTATTTGTTTAGGGCTAAGAAGTACTTTTCTCCGCATGACCTTCTCACTCTATACAAGGCCCAGATAAGGCCTAGCCTCGAGTATTGCTCACACATTTGGGGTGCTGCCGCCCCGACTACATTGTCCATGCTCGATGCTATCCAGAGGAGGGCGGTCCGACTGATCGATGACTCTTCTCTAACAGACAGTCTCGGGACTCTTTCGCGCCGGCGGGTCGTCGGCGATCTAGCTCTTTTCTATCGCTACACCAACGGGCTTTGCTACTCAGAGCTCTCTTCCATGATGCCGCCGCGCGATGTGCCTGCCAGACAGACCCGCCTGACTTCGGCGTCCCATCCTAACCGTGTCAAACTTCGTACATCCAGAACTGGCCGATACGACCGCTCCTTTGTCCCGAGGGTGTCTAGATTGTGGAACAATCTACGGGAGGAAACAGAAAAGCGAGTCACGCAGAACACGTAACGTTCTAGAAGAAGGTATCTTGAGTGACCTTGAAGAAGATATGTTTTATAGGAACTCAACTAACGGAGAAAAACTACAGAGTTTTTTGCTGATCGTCAACACCATACTGAATCGCTGAGGAAGAAAGGTTTAATACGAGTGAAATTATACAATCAATAAACTATTAAATTTGCCAAAAGAAAATCATTGAAAAGGGTTTGGCCTAGGAATGGGCACTCTATTATCAATGAAGAGAAATTCAAATTACGGATAAGTGATAAACAGTAAAAAAAGGTTACGTGATTTTGGCATGTGACATCACTCTCTGCAATTGTTTTATAATCTCTAATAATTGAATATTTATCTATGTTATTGATTATTTACGTTTATGCTACATCAAATATTTATACTTCTAAAACATACTATTTTTGATACCTATTTTATAACATCTATTTCATTTTTATTTAGTCATGTATATTTTTCCTTCGCTTATGCAAGTCCGACCTTTTCCTGCTGACGTTTCATATAAGCAAAGCAATTTAAATAAAAGTTACAATTGTTACTATTATTATTTCAGTGTGCGGGATTTAGTGAACTGCGGGATTGCAATCCCTAACTCATTCGACTATTATTGTTTGTCTTCTATTGAATCCAACTTTGCGCCAGAATAGCAATAATTTCTGTTCTGCATTATTTGACAAACTCGTCATTCGAATATTATGCAACTTTCTGTTTAACCGGTGGTAACTCAAAGTCGAAGCAATATATCATTAGTGATTATCTCAACAGAGCTTCCACGTGCCATTATCCAAACTGCCGGCGATGCTTGACCGAGCAGAATACCAAAAGGCAATTTAATTAAAAGTTATTAATTATCAGGGCCTGCCAGCTGCTGTTGGGCCTACCGGAATAATTGACGGTCCACTGCCATCAAACGTCATGCTTTTGATTGATCGGAATGACACCCTATCGGGAAGCTTGCTTCGTCGGACAAGATGAGCGGAGGTTCTGTTGGTTTTCACAAAAGAGGGGCA